TTATTTGCACAATTAGTGGATCAATTTACCATGTAATTTACTGGCTTTTTTCTTGACAAATTCCGCTGACTCTCTCACATACATATATATGTGTGTGATTTTTTTTTTGAAGAATTCGACCCAAAGAATGAATCAAAGCTCGCAAAACTCGACTACTTGTGCGATGACGTACCCGTTTATCCAGCCTGTTTCTATTAGGGCTTGAGCACCCTACTTCGTATATGGCTTGGACTTTCTTATTAAGGATTCACAAGTGAAGGGACGTATTAAAATATTTACTTATGAGTTGTCCTACATTGTTTATATAGAAAATATAGGCTTAATTTAAAAGTATACCGGGCAACTCCTCCTTCCACAAATTGATTTTGAGATGAAACCTCGCTTGGATTTCATCTGAGTTTTTCCTGTCTTGGTGGGCTTCATATGCGTGGGACCACACTCATTTTGCCCCGGTTTCTTAACAGCCAAATAGAATTCCGATTCATGCTGCCGCTACCGCGAGTCCGCAACTTGCGAAAAACCGGAATTTTTGTCTATTATTGCCGCCGACTAAGGGTATGCTTTTCTACAAATAATCGGAGCCGATTCTATTGGGGATCATGCGATGACGTACCCGTTTACCCAGCCTGTTTCTAGTAGGGCTTGGGCACTCGGCTCCATATATGAGCTTGGGCTTTTTTATTAAGGACTCACAAGTGATGAGGCGTATTAGAATATTCACTTGTGAGTTATCCCACATTGTTTATATAGAGAAAATAAGCATAATTTATATGTCTACTGGGTTACTCCCCCTTCCACTAATTGGTTTTGGGATGGAACCTCACTTGGGCTTCATATGTGCTTTCCCTGTCTTGGTGCGCTTCATATCCGTGGGATCGCACCCCCTGTTTCTTATAAGCCAAATAGGAATCTGATTCATGCTGCCGCTGCCGCTACCGCTACCGCGAGTCCGCAACTCGCGGAAAACCCCCGACTAAGGGTATGCTTTTTCACAAATAAATTCGCTTATCGGAATTAGTTAATTTGGTTAACTATGATTAATTTTGAAAAAAAAAAGTTGTATGATTAGTTTTTATTGAGATTTTAAGTTTATATTAAATTAATATTTAAATAAAATAACTAAAGTTGATTTGATGTAAAAGTATGAAAAAGATAATATGTGAATTG